TACTATCATTTAAAACATTTGAGAACTGAGGAGCCCGGACCGGAAGGGGTTAAACAGCAACACAGAGGTCACTATTAAACCTAAACGACGCGCTTTGAAGTCCCGCTGGTGTCGATGGGGCAGTGCTTACGTCTTGCCCTGACAGCTGAATAAGAAAACGTGGTTAGGATTGCTTTGCGCACTTAGGATCGCGCGTGCCCAGTTTTCAGGACAGGGGCGCGCGCGGGTGCCATCCATACACACTCGTCCCCATTGAAAACCGTGGCAAAACATATATATATCTCCCGTTGACTTCCGTGTTTATGATTTTGCCCGCAGAGGATCAAAGCTCATTTGGATCGCTTCCTGCGCTCGAGTTAATATGGCCCCGGATTATCCCCGCCTGCCGCTTGAAATAGTCAAATTTTTAAGGGGGAAATTTTCTACTCCGGTATACTTAATTAATAGCATTATTGATTTAATCATCATCATCATCATCTCGCTCTCCAAGGACGCAATCTAATGCACACTTACATGGGAATAAATCTCACTTAATTCCGTGGCACTTATTTCTGAGTAGATTTACAGAGATCGCTCTGCATGTTTCCTGACATCTTAGGAAGCGGATGCCTTTTCTTTAAAAGTTTTTATGAGACTCTTTAAATCCGACTCTTCTTTCCTAATCGGGTACAGATCCTCGCTGGGGGGAAAGCAAGGAGAGTCTCTCCATGTCTTAGTGGGATTTTAAAAAAAAAATCCGTTCGCGGTGTTTAAGGGAGAGGGGAGAAGAGGGGCTGTCACCTTTCTGCCTCGAGCGAGCGCGGATTTATTAATAGACGTGAACAGAACAAGGGAGGTAATAAAAACCAAAACTGAACACGCGGGAGAATTGGAGGTTTCTGGAGCGATTATTCAATCAGGAGATAGTAAGCAGGCGGCGTGTCTAAACCTCCCCGCTTCGCTTCGCTTTCAAGCCTCTCCGCCGCGAGACTATTCCAAATATTTCTGTTTTAAACAAACATCGCTGTGCTCCGAGGGAGCTTTGAGCCAGTGGGAAACTCAGCTCAGTTTTTAAAGACTCAATTCCCCGCCGCAATCCGTTTTACAGCATGCCGGGTTAATTCTCTTCCACCACTTCAGTTATAAACTGGGGTAAGGAAGCCGGCCATCTGAAATGGAACCAAAACCGCTTTCTGGATTCAAACCGGTTTCCCTCTTGTTGTTCTCTGAACAACTCCCTTCTTTTCTTCCATTCAGTTGGGAAGTAAAATCACCTTCAAATGCACAATGGCTCCAGGTAGGTGCGATTAGGATCGGGATGCGTTAACTATCAACTTAAGTTCAAACACACCTCCAGTCATAAACGCATTCAGGTAACAGCGCTAACCTAGGCACGTTTACGCAAAAATAAGTCCCCTTCTCTTCAATGGGGTCTACCCCGTACACGCTGCAAGTATATACTTTTCGACTCGGAAGTAAATCCCATTGGTTCCATGGATACTAACCCCGCTTATATAGGGGTAAGCCCCATTGAATGCAATAGAACTTCCTTCTGAGTAGACCTTTCGGTGGCATTGACTTGCAAGTAGTTTTAAACGCGCTTACTAAGAAGATAATACCTTCTTTCCAAGTAAAACTGTTTAGAGGGTCAGGGTGACTGCTCGGGATTTCAGACTTCCCGGGGAGTAAATCACTCCAGAAATTAGCTTAATGACACATAATGTCAGCGTTCTTTTATTTTCACTAGATTGTGGGACCACGCTATAAATCAAAGGCAGGAAGGAATTAGACAACACCCATGGATCTATGGTGTCTTTTGTTGTACAGGTTTATTTGGTTGAAATAAAACGCGTTCATTATTTAGTGTGTTTGGAAGAGCAAAGGAATAAAGCGGGGGACACCCAGAGGTCAGCAGGTGAGAGGAACGCCACATTGCTTTGTGGTTAAAGCTTCCTTTAAAAAAAAATAATAATAATTGTTTAATTCCATTTCACTTTTTTTTTTTGACCAGGTGCAGAGTTCAAGGGTTTTTCAAATTCCATGTTTATTTTTAAGTGGGAGGGAAAATAGGGAGGGGAAAAGCCTTGCCCTGGGAGCGCAGCGCGCGATCCAATTCAGCATATGGGAACTTTGAAGCGCGCGCTTTCGCGCTCCCTCGCCGAAATCATAGCGATGCTTCGAACCGGATAGTGACCCAAATCTGTGCAAACGTGTCGAACGCTTAAAGACCCACCGCCACCGATGACAGCTACTAACAGCGGGCCGCGTTGCTTCTTGTGAAGAACTTTTGTGCTGCTGCTTTGATTTTAGTTTTGCCGAAGTCACGGGAACCGCAGAGGCGTTCCGACGATCACTAGCTGCTCTCGGGGAGCTTTGGTGTTTCCTCCAGTCGCTGTTGGTTCCCGTCGAGGTTCACTTGTTTGATTCTCTTACCCACTTCCTACGAAAGTGATCCGCTAGCATTCTTGCTTAACAGAAGCGATGAGCCCGATCCTGTGCCTCCTTTTCTGGAGGTAAGTGCTGCGGAATTAAGCGGCGCTTGCCTCGAAGAAGCAACCGGGAGCCCCAGCTCGGAAAAAAGAAAGCCTCAATTTGCTCCTTGGGAACTGACTGCCAAGTTAACAGGGCAAATGGACCGGGACATCAGCTGGCTCGCTGAGCGCTCCGATTAAGGTGCGCTCCTGTCACTGCGCAACGAGGGGCAGCCGCGCAATTCTTCCAGTCCTCGAGTCTCGCTTCTGTTCCTCTGACCCCGTCGGTGCCTTTGGAATCAACCCAGCGCCTCCGCTTGTAAAATGGGCAATTTGAAGCGGTTCTCAAACGGTGGCAGGCACTAGATGACACTAAGCAGGATCTGCCGGGGATGAAACCCCAGCTGGTCTTATCGGGACGGATCTGTCTTCACCTCCCTATTAGCTGAGAGACGCTACCTTGTTCGGGAAGGCCGTTTTGCCCTCTGCAGACGCCGAGCTAAATCGAGGCGAAAACCGGGAGCGCTGGGAGTAGGTTCACCGTTCCCCACCCCCCACGCCCGGCTGCCGGGCTTCGCCTGGGTCGCCTGAAGCCTTTGCGAGTGTGGATTGAAGCCCAAATCACCCTTTTAGGAATCTGAGGTGGGTAGCTTGATTCACAGGATACTCAGTTTTCTGAACCGGGCTTGATTCTACCTAGAGAGGCAGGGATCTGTCGTGCCCACCCAGACCAGAAGATGCAGGTCGGCGATCCAGGATCAACTCCTGATCAGAAAGAGCTCCGACGGTGGGGGTCATTATTATGGGGTGGAATAGGAAGTGAAGATGCCCCCGGGAATGGGATCTGCGGGGAAAAGGAAAGGGTGGGTCCTGAATGCCAGCTGGGATCCGGGGCTACTATGGATGACACTCTAGGAGATGTGGATCCACCGGGTTCCACGGGAGATCTGTAAGTGGGGTGGGGTTTTTTAAAGCTTACGCAGTCGATTTCAGGAGCGGAGACTGGATAGCTACCGCACATATCCAGTTTACTCCAAAGTAGTCCGGTTCAAATCGGGAATACAGAAGCACGGAATCTCTGGTGTTTTCACACACACACACACACACACACACACCCAACCAACCAAGCAGTGGATCCTGCTAAGCTTGAGCGCAGCCCCGATCCGTTGGAGAAAGCGCCGCCAAAGCTCTGAGCCTAAGATGGGAGATGGGAGCGACCACTCTCTCCATTCCCGGGAGATCACTTAAGAGCTTAGCGCCCTAGTTGTCTCCCAGACTCGGCTGCCCCGGGGCTCCTCTTGACTCTGTGCCAAGGCTTGTTCGAGGTGCGAGCGTGGTGTGGGGGCAGCGAGGGATGCCACTGGAGCGAAGGCGGAGCGCGTTGGTTGCTCCGTATCCGGGAGCCGAGCGGCCGAAGTAAGAGTTTCCCAGTTAGAAACTTTCCCCCCATTCCAGTGCGCATGCCCAGGGGTGGGGAAGGCGAGGGGGGGCGGGAGAGAGGGGGTTGAAATAAGGAGGCGGCCGAGGGAAGGGATCCGCTCAGTCGGCGCTCGCCTTGCTCCGAGGCGCTTTTGCCTGCAGCCTTCCAAGTCAGCCGAAAGAAAGAGCGCGGTGCGGAGAGGCTCTCCGCTACCTGGTGCGCTCCTACGCTCGCCCGCCCGCCTCTCCGCCCCTTCCACCGGATCTGCCGCGGGCCAGCGGGAGAGCAGGCGAGCCGAGGGCCGGGCCCGGCGCCGGCAGCACCACTTTGCCCAACTTTGAAGCTGTGCAGTTTCGCCCACGGAGGATCTTGAACCATCTGCCGGCGGTGGAGCGGAGATCGGGATTAGGTAAATATTTAGATTTGCCTGGCACTTCCACCCCCACCCCCCCAAAAAAACCCCTCCTTTCTGGCAGGGTGTCCCGTGCCCTCATTCTCCGGTCGCTTCACGAGATTCAGGTCCTGTTGTGAAGTTCGCGGAGTTCAGTTAGGCCGTCTGGTTCCGCCCCCCAGATAAACTCTGAGCTACCAAGATGCTGGGATCTTCTTGCAGACGCAGAGCACGGTCTGCCTACTTCGGCGCCAGCTGTTAAGTGGTCCGACTAAGGCAGGCGTCCCAGCAGTTAGCAGCCCACCCTGCAGTTCCTATGTCCCTTCTTCCCCTTGGCAGAATTGGTCCTCTCTAACCCCACAAGGCTGCAATCCTAAACCTGGCGGGAAGTTAGCCTCGTTGCGTTCAGAGATAGGAGTTTGTTCCTGAACTATCCACGCTTCTAGGGCGAACTGGGCAATAAAAGTCCCACTGGGAGACGGATGTCACCAGGATGCGATCCTAAACATGTGGATTACGTGCAAGCGAGTCCCGCCTAGGCGATCCGGCTTGTTATCCGAGTTAGGCGCTCAGACAAGGGCCACGAGGCGACCCGAGCCCTCGTCCTCATCCTAAAGGCGCCATATTATCAGAAGTTCCTCCCGTTGGTTCCAGGAGGAACTTACGTCTGCTGAGCCTGGCATACTTTTTGTTTTTTTTTAAGACCCCGATCCTTAACGTGTTTCCTCAGAAGGCAGGTCGGGAATTCGTCCTTCCAGATCTGTTTCTAGGATCGCAGTGCCAATGCGCTTAAGGGTCGGGCTGCTGATTTTACTAAACCCTGGCAGTTCCACGCGCACCAGAGACCGGTATGTTTTTGCTACCAAGCGTAATTATGCGTGGGTGGGTACGATTTTGTGTGTGTGTTTGCGCGATCACTCGCTCGCGCCTGCTATTCATAGCCCACCTAGGACTATAGCAAAACAACAACAACAAACCATCGTCTTTGGGCGTGATATGGAATGTACCTACTTGCCTGCGCATAGGTGGAGGGGAAAACGGTTGGGTCCTAAGCAGATAGCATATTTGGAAACGAGTTCAGCCGAAATCAAGGGGGCATACTTCCAAAAGGAATTTAGGACTGGTGTGTATGTGTGAGAGTACACAGAGATTTTCTGAGCCGTTGGATAGTACAAGGGGGAATTTCTATATCCTTCGCTTTGCTTGCTATATAAACCACAGCCACAATTCGTTGGCATTGCTGGAATTTAGGGCGATATCTCTGCAGCAGGTATGTAGTCTTACCCTGGGCATATTTAACTGGGAAGTGTTGAGTCTTTCGGAGAATGTGCACAGGGTTGCACCCTTACTTGAAAATTCTCCACGAGATCACCTTAAAGTTCTCGTGGAGTTGCGATTTTAGAATCGCGCTCGATCCCCGCCAATTTTAGCGGAGTTTCCTTCCCAGCAAGGCTCCCTTGAAAGGGCGTGCAAGGCTGAACTTTTAAATGCAATGGCGGATCTCGCAATCGACTGGACTAATGCCTGTGTAAATGTTCGGGGTATAGCGAGGCAAGAAGTTTCGGTTTCACTGGGTTCTTTTCTGATCCATCTCAGATCAGGTCTGTCTCTGTATTAGTATTGCTCTGTGGGCCTGTCTCTTACACCTTACCTGCCTTGAAAACTTCGTAACCTTTCCGTTTTAAAGGCTTTTCATCCTAACCCTCTTGAAGGGAAAGAGATTCCCATTCATTTCGAATGCAGCCCTCTTCCTTTCCAGTTTATTTAACCAGTAGCGAATCGTAAACGGATAGAAACTTCGGGTGTTGCTCTCGTTGCCACGCAAGAGATGGCTGTCCGTGTTATTCACCCGGGGCCGCCAGGCCTGCAGGAGTTTTTCAGCAGCTCTTCGGGTTTACGTGTTTTTCATATCCGTTTTCACTGCTAGATGTAGGGGAGCCGATCTAATCCGAAATACTCTTGTGCTGCGAATATCAGCTGGTTAAATAAACAGAAGTACTTCGAGCGAACGGGCTGATTTAAATCGACCCACAGACAGATCTCTCTTTGCGCAACGTTGGCACCGAAAGCGCCCGTCTATGTCTGTCTGCATGTTCAAAGAGGTGCAGGGGTTTTTGTTTTGTTTTGGAGGGGGAAGTAGCTTCCTTTGTGGGAATAATTCAGTCTCTTTTCAGAATTAGTGTGTAAATAATGTGTTTGGGGCTGGGGGAGAGAGGCAGAAGTAGTAGATGTCCGAAAACTGTTATAGATTAGTTTCCATCTCGATGACCTGAAATGATTATTTTGAGTCAGCGGGATCCACTTCCAGTGGCGCTCAGCTTCCAAGTAATGTGATCGACGGAGGGAAAGTCAGCATCTTCAGCCTCAGGCATTATCCAGGAACAATGTATATTTTGGATCGAGGAAAGCGAAGACTGTTGAAATACTTTGGCATTCCTTCTGCTTCCCTGCCCCCAGCCATTATTTCTTTCCTCAATCAGCCATTATTATTATTATTATTATTATTATTATTATTATTATTATTATTTATTTTACCAGTCGCCATTAGCTGTCCTAGAATGCGGTTCCTTATTGCAATTAGCAAAAGCGCCGTCCAGAACAGGATACTTTTTATTTCGTAGGATTTTGGATTACAGTTTAGCGGACCATCGGGGTTGCGATGCGCGTTTACTCCAAGGTGAATCCCGTTTAATATCGATGGGGCTTCTCTCTGAGTAAACATGAGCAATCCACAGTGCGTTATATTCCTCCAATGGAAGTTGCTGCAAAGTCATGTGGTTTAGGTCAGGGGTTGCGGTGGTGATGGGGAGGGAGAGAATACCCATGCATGACATCAGCAGTCCGATCCTAACCACGTTTACTCAGAAGTAAATCCAGCTGTGTTTAGGATGGCAGCCTCTAATCCCTGGTCTTCCTTTTCATTCCCCAAACCAGATTCCCCAGTGTGGTAATGCTACTGGCACAGTAATTTAGGACTGACTTGCGCTTTTTTTTTTATTTGTCTTGTAAGCTATGCACTGCGCGCAAACACTTTAATGGGATGTCGAAGAGAGGGACAGAGGTGGCTCAAATAGATAATGATCCCGCAGAGTAAAAGTGACGGTCATAATTATTATCTATATAGCTCCATCCCCTGAACAGAGTAACCAAGCGAAATAAGCCACCAAACCAAGAACTGTCCCCTCAAAAAATGGTCTCTCGTTTTCTGTCCTGCATCCCCATTCACACAAGCGGGCGAAACAGAGGGAGAGAGGCACTTTTTAGCGTCAGGTGAGAAGAACCCTCTTGCCTCCCAGGACACCGCCGCTTAATTTGTGGATTCAAAAGTCCCTTGGCATCAGTTTGGTTATGCTGCTTTCGGTCAGTAATATCTCGAAGGCCTCCTAAACCAAGTGACGCTGGCACCTCCAATTTCTAAGGGCATCTGTATAGAACTACGTCCCATAAATCTAGATTCGCCTTGCTTGCAAAGCCTTAGGCTCGAGCTGTTTATTTAGTTTGGATTTCTAGAATTTGGGGGCATCAGATGAAAAGCAGTTTGTTGGTTTGCTCTTTTGCTTTCCTCCCTCCATTAGCCACAAGGATACCTTTTAAGATTTTAGCGCCCCATTATTTCCTCTGTGTAGGAGGGTGTGTGTGTGTGTGTGTGTGAGAGAGAGAGAGAGAGAGAGAGAGAGACCACTGTCCCAGAATTGTTTCGCAGCTCATAACTGCCGCCGCTTGACAGTAGGAGCGATTTCAAACGGCTGTTGTGAACACTTGATCCTGGCGATCTGTAGTATTCAAAGCTTAGGTGTGGGGGGGGGGGTGCAAGGAGGGGGGAAGGAGAGGGGAAGGGGTTGATTTCTGGTGTGTGAGCAAACAACTGCGAGGGCGTCCGCGGGGCTTGTCAGCACCGATTGCACGATAAAACGTGATTCTTATTTTTTTTAAAAAAAGGAAAGCAAGAAATTAACGAAGCCTGTTTAGCTCGGCTCCGCCAGGCAAAGGCGCAGAGGCCGCTGGAGTCCTTCCAGCGCTCATTAAGGGACGCAATTAACTCGTTCACGCTCAATTAGAGCCGTACATAACTCCGTTTGAGGAGATCCCGTCGCACCCTTTGCAGAAAGCGGAATGCTCCGCGCGGCTGGAGCCAGGAGAGTCGCCCGCCCGCCGGCCACGCCAATTCCCCTTTCCTGTTTTGTTTCCTCAACACAGGTAGAGGCCACGCTCGATTTCCTCCTGCGCTGCTCGCAGCAATGGAAGGGGGCGCGGGGGAGAGAACGAACGAACGAGCAGTGTCCCTCCAGCTTCGAGAGTTTAAGGGGAGACGGTTTATTTTCTAGTTCTGGCCGGGTTGCTGCTCCAGGCACCCTGGCTTGGGGAAGGAAATCCGTGGGATCTCCTTCACGTGTTCGTCTGAAACGACTTTGTTTTTTTTTAATTTAGCGCGGTGAGCGTTTTTCGTAGGTGACATAATAGAAAGGCGCACGACGCACCCCCTGCCCCGAGGATCTTACAAACTGAACGCAAGCGGGCAGGAGGAAATACGAAGGTTTCTCATAACAACCTTGTTAGATAATAAAACCACCCCAATCCTTTATAAAATGAAAAACAAAAATCGATAGACATTTAACAGAGACGGTCCTGTGTTTTGGATGAATGGCGGGTGCTCCCAAGTGTTTGTGCTTGTTTTTTTAATAAGGTTGCAATCGTTATTTAAGGCATTGCTATCCTAGACATAGCTACCCAGAGATAGAGCCCATTAAGATGAATTGCAAGTGGTTATAGGATCGCTCGGCTTCAAGGGCCTAGAGGATCTGGAGCAGGAGGAACTTTTTATTTTTCGCTTCTTGTAAAACGGTCAAAACAAAAAAACTGAGCATAAATAGATTAACCCCCCCCCCGCGCGCGCGCACCCAGACGCAGCACCTCCATAGAGTTCTGTCCACTCCCAACGCGTTGGAATCCTATAGCTGAGCTGACCGTGGGCTTTGCTCGCGACGCCTGTGGCATTGCTAATGGAGAGGCGAGCGCGAGTTTTGACTGCTTGGATTTTATCATTCGAAAAGCCAGCAACTTAATTTACCTCGGCCATTTCTGCATGTGGAACTAATGGGGGGGGGGCCGAAAAGAGCCCAACATGTTATTTATGAGTCGAGTATTTCATCTGCAAATATCCTCTCCCCCACCCCCCGCCGTTGGGAAAAAAAAATAGATACGCCAGGCGCGTGGATAATTCAGGCTTAAACTTTAAAAAACAAACTAACCACAAGATGACCATAAAATTAAGGGGAGAGTTTCACTGCAGTCCTGAGACAAGAATGGCAGCGCGAGGTTTTCGCCCTTGGGAAGAGACTTCCTCGCCCCAGCGAGAAAGCTTAGAAAAATGCGATTTCCACTACTATTTCCAAAACATAGTGCCTTAGGCTGATATGGATTGGCAGTTCCAAAAGGCCAAAGTCTTCCCGAGGCCTGAATTGATCTCAGTGCGTAAATCCGTTGAGCAGAGTATAGCTGGAGCGGAGGACACCGCGTGCTGAGATTCCTGCACTGCAGGGGGTTGGACTAGATGACCCCCCTGGAACCCCTTCCAACTCTATAATTCTATATGGATAGAGTGAGTTTGGAAAGGCCTTTGATGGATGTCGGCGGAACTTACCGCCACTTGAACTCCCAGCCACCTTGAAACCCTCTTTCTGCTAGGCTTTCCTTCTTTGACAAGACCTCTGGTTTCAAGAGACAGTTTGCTTTGAAAGTCAGCGAGCTTATTGCCTCCAACGAGTAACACTCCATTGCTTCTTGCATTCTATCTTATCTTAACTCATAAAGGATGTTACTGGCGCCTTGCGATCCTAGCGAAGAAGTAACTCCTTTTGAATTCAGCGGGGCTTACTCCCAGGTAAGTAGAGTTAGGATGGGCAGCCTTTAAGATGCAAACCTCGGGCCTGATTTGGAACACCTCTTGCTAGGACGGTAAGGCTGCAATGCTATGGCTGAACACAACTTCGGAGTCAGCATGCATCATAAGATCGGAGTTGCACGGGAGTAGCGCGCTAAGTAAGAACCGTGGCCTGGCAAGCCACAGATAGAGCAGTATGTCGGTGGTGAAGACCGCTTTGGACTCCTCCTCCTCCCTAATATTATTATTATTTATTATATTCTAATTCAATTACTCCTGAAGCCGGCCCTACAATGCCATAAAAATGCCTATGCCTGTCCCTTCTTTTTAAAGAACATTTGGCATTTTTTTTTCTGTTTGCTGAAGCCTAAAATTAAGTCCCAGGCAAGCAACGTTCCAGGCAGGTGTTACGTCTGATCACCTGCAAAGCGTATGGAGACTCCAAGGCAGCCTTCGCCAGCTTGGGTGAGAGTTAGCTCTCACCTGCCTCAGGCAGAACACCTCTGCTAGCTGCGGAGGGTGGAAGTTGTAGCCCAAAGCAACAAAGTTACAGCAAAAAGGGTGGCAGGGGTGAAGAAACAGAGCGTCCAGATCTGCTCGCTCAGCTCCAAGCCCCACAGGAGGAGGGAAGGTATCTATCTATCTTCTACCACGTGAGGACTAGGGCACTGAGTCAAAGAGAGATGGCCTCTCGTCTCTCAAATACAGGGAGTTACAGGTCAAAGTGACGCCAATGGACAAATGCATTTCAATTACATTTTCATGAAATTAATGGGATCACTCAGTCGGTAGAGCATGAGACTCTTAATCTTGGGTCGTGGGTTCGAGTCCCACCTTGGGCAAAATAGTCCTGCATTTCAGGGGGGGTTGGGCTAGATGACCCGCGGGTCCCTTCCGACCTACGATTCTGTCAAGCAGTTTCCAGTCGTTCGAGTGCGCCTTTGCATCCGCCGACGCTCTGGAAGGGAAAAGAGGGTTATGTTTTACCGAGTAAAGGGGGCATCTTTCTGCACCAGCGTTTTTCTCAATTCCCCCCTCCCAAACATCCTCGCAATTTTTATTTTTATTTTAAAGCCGGAAAGTGACTTGATTTACAAACGAGAGCTCCCCTAAAACAGCCCCCCCCTTGTTAAGTCACACCAGGGATGCTCCTCCGTTCCTCATAAGCTTGAGGCGGACAGAAAGCAACGGCTGAGAGGGGCTTGGGGAGGGGCGAGAAATGAAACTCTGCGTTTCCACAGGGTTGCAGCGCAGATGTTGCGCAACAGGTTCCACTCGGCCCAAATCCGGGCTGAACTCCGAATGCAGACAAACCTTTCTTGCCTTGGCGGGCAAAGTTCCATTGGAAGCGCAGGGATTTGGTTGCTATTGCCAGGATCAAAATGCGGGTGGACTTACAGCCCGAATTTACAGGGTAAGATTTACACCCCTCCTTCTCTGTAGATTCCAGTGGGCTTCCTTTCGCATCCCGGTGGTGACATCCGTTTGGAAGCAAGTCCATTGAAACAAAGCCTGCGTGGATCTGGCTTGGTTTGCAACCTGTTATATACCTATTAGGATGTGTGTGTTTTAATAACTAAATTTAATTCAAAGGACTTACTTCCAAGTAACCCTGCTTAGGGTCCCAGCTGGAATTGGGTTGTAAGGAGAAGCTCAGGCCCGGTGGTCAACAAAGGAGCAAACTCCTAAGGGCCGAGGGGTTTTTGGCCTCCCCAATAAAATATTCGAGGGACATCTCCCCCACCCCAAGCTGATGGGCATTGCCATTCAAACGTGCACTGCATCATGCGATCGATTATGCGGGGCGGGGCTTACCTGCGCCACCAATGTTTTATTCGTTGGCACCCCTGGGGGGGGGGGTCAACTGAGTCTTCATTAATTTCAGAGGGTCTGGTCTGAGTAAGACTTGGTAGAATGCAACACCTCGGACGGCAGGCTTCGGTTTCAGTCCTATAACCCCTGTGTAGGGGGGGGCAGGGGGCAGCTGCCCCCTCAGATCAAGTAAAACAACAGAAATAACTAACTGACCAATCACGTGGGTCCTTCCCCCCTCCCCAAAAAAATCCTGGCTACGCCCATGCCTGGGAGTAAGTCTCATTGAACTCAAGGGGCCTCCTTAATTTTGAGCAGATACGTCTGGGATGGTGATGTTAGACCCACTTACCGAGAGCAGGCGGAACTATCGATTCGGAGTGAGCATGCATAGGTTGGATTGCGCTGCGGAACTGCGATCCTAAGCACGCTTATCTAGCAAGCTTGTAGGTGGGGGGGGCCCTCACGTCTAGCACTTCAGTCCGAAGCTTAGAAACTGGTCGGAAGCGATCCCACACTGAAAGCGATAGGACGGAAGGATTTCACGGAGTAAATCATCGCTGGGATCAAACTGTAAACGTGCTTAGGATGGAGTCAATGGGTTTGTCGGTCCAGGGAAGTAGACTTTCGCCTGCGTTGAAATCAATGGGGCCCGTCTTCCCCTTTGGAAGGGGACTCTAGTAAGAAAAGAAGATGATGTCCTAAGCTCAGTTGAGTCGCCTAAGGCGCATTGCAAGGCTTTTCGCTGATTTGGGGCACGGGCCTATACGGCAGGTTACCAAGGAAGTAAGTTTCGCTTGAGTCCACGGGAGCTTGTTCCCATGGGCCTAGTGGGGGGGGGAGCAGAGAGGGGCAACTACCCCCCCATAAATAAAAATACTTAACTAACTGAAGTTCTGCCCGCCTAAGATAAATCCTGGCTACGCCCATTCTTGCCCTCCAAGCAAAGCGGCGCAGATGGGACTGCGTGACTGCAGAGTCGGTGTACGCAGGCTTACTCCGGAGTAAGTTTCGTTGTGTCCAAAAGGGCTTACTTGCTGCTCCCAGGCGTGTTTGAGGTTGCAGTCTCAGTCGTGTGTGTGTGTGTGTGTAGCAGGGAAGGTTTTATTTTTGGTTAGCCTGCTGCGTATTTTTTGTTTCACAAAACTTACATACCGCTTGATTGCAAACAACCAACCAACCCCCAAAGTTGTTAAGTCCCCGAGTAGCTGCTTCAATTTACCCAGCGAGACGTGTCTCCTGAATTTTTTATATATTTTTTTAAAAAAGAAAGAAATATTATTTTAAACGGGACTCTGTTTATTGCCACCGAGGGCAGCGGAAAGGTGGTTGAGAACTCCCAGACTCTTCTCATTTAGGGGAAGAAGGGGGGGGGGCAGCCGATAAAGATCTGTTGACATGAAGCAGAATTGAAAGGTGGAGGTGACACCGAAATAAAAGGATCAACTGGCTCTGCGGTGGGGAGGAAAGTAGAGCGCAAGGGGGGGGTGTCACTGCAGACCTCCAGAGAATCGTTGGCTTTGATGTCCTAAAAGGGTCCCGCCACTCGCTTACCCCCCGCCTCAAGCTGCTCGTCCCCTTCTCTGTCTCTTTCCTCGGTTGTAACAGAGGAAAAGTGTAACTTACAGATCTGGACCAAGGCCAGCAAACTTGTAACAGCCTGAATCCTCTCTCTTTCTCTCTCTCGGCTGCCCTTTGTTTTTAAGCTAAACTGCTTCTAGCGACCAAAATCATTAGCACAATGGATGCTATTATGAATCACGATTTTTCTTTTCTTCCCTCTTCCTTTCAGGGGAACCGGTGAAAGGCCGCTTCTTATTCGATTGGTGTGACTTAAAACTTTGAAAGTTATCTACCTCTCCACTCTTTCTTTCTCTCTACACACACACACACACACACACACACACACACACACACGCGCCCCAGCGCGACATTCTCTTACAGGGCTAGATTTACGAGTAACAGATCCATCCGGTTAAACCGCAGTCCTTGGATTTAAAACGATTAAAAAAAAAATCAGTTCTGAAAACTGAAGGGTGCATGCTTAAGCACGTTGACAGTTAATAATAATAATAATAATAATAATATGCTGGGAAATCCGTACCTTAAACACACACACATACGGAAGCAAGGCAACTGTTTTTAGTGGAGCATAATCCTAGGATTGGAGCCTTAATTCTTAGTAAAAGAATCAGGATTAATACACGTGTTTAAATAAAATACAAGGACTTTGCTGGGCTGTGAATCGGATTTTAAATATTTACACATGGCAAGACATGGGGATATGCCGTAGCAGAGATTTCTCTCCACCTTCCGAATTAAACTGCATTCCATAAATCGCCCACCACCAAGCCTTCAAAATAAGCCTGTAAACCAAAATACTGAGGCACGATTTCCGATCGCAGTGAATCTTCCCATTGGACCCTGCACGGATTCACATGCTCAAGAGGAGGGACGCGAACGGGTCCAGCATGTTCGTTCCTTGAAGAATATGCCATTTCTGACGCACTTGTTCAGAAGTTGTCCTATTGATTTCACGGGACACGTACTTCCTTGCAAACGGTGCTTAGGAGATCTGCTATTATCGTCTCTCCTGAAAAGGAACAGGATCCATCCGCGTGTCAGCTGCCCGGCTCTATTTCAAAAGTGGCCTAAACATAAGGAGTTTGATCAATATCTCTTGGTAATAAGCGGCTGCGGATGCGAAGAATTAAAAAAAAAAAAAAAATTGAGGGGGAGACCTTTTTAAAAACACAGCACCCTGGTCCTTAAACAGTTAAATTTAACTGAGGGGGTGGGGAGGTTGCAGCGTGTGTGTTTTAATCGACCGGTATACCAAATTTATCCAATTAGAAAAGGCAAATCTTGGCCAAATGTCACACTCGTTTATTCTGGGTCACTGCGATGGAATTTCTGTAGACTTTCCTTTTCCCTTCTCCCTCCCCCCCCGCCTTTTCTTAAGGCTGATTTATGTAAAGTGGTGTGAAAGGTGGACTCAGGGCAGATATTTAGTGAGAAGATCCGTGAACAGCAGAACCGCCAGACAAACAGCGCGTCGCCCTTTAATCTTCTCGGCTTCGCGTCTGATCCATCCCATCTCAGCTGCTCGTGAACAATCCCTGCGCTTTCGCTTCGCTCCTTTTTTGCAGCAGTTTGGTGCGCGCGCGCTCTTGTTTCGCTGTCGCTTTGGGTGTGTTTGTGGGGGGAAGCAAACTTAAACATCAAACTTAGCAACAATAATTTTCGATCGAGAGGCTTCAAAATCCCTCCCCCTCCACATTTCTTTTATTTTGTTTGGCAAGAGCTTTCCAAGCACCCGTGGCGGAGCATGGGCGTGACGTCACAGGACAAGGCTACGCGTCACCGTTACGTCAAATGCAAACTATAAAAGGAACTCGTTGAGTGCTGAGCAGAGGCAAATGCTCTCTCTGGTTGCAACTTTGCGCTGCGTTGTGGGCACGCGCAGCGCGATCCTCAGCATGTTTACTCAGAAGTAAAAGGCCGCAGTTTTGCAGCAGCCGTTAATTTGCTGCGGGCTCAGAATAAGTAGCAAGGTCTAAACCCAAACATGTGCAACGATCGTAAATAAGAACCAAGCCCCATGTAAATGCAATTATAACATATTTGGGGGGCTGTTTTATTTCCCCAAGCACGGAAAGTACAGGCACTCCCGCACAATTATCGCCGAAATACGGTACGTTTTCAGCTGCAGCCTTAATGCACGTGTTTTAAATCTCGCAGAAATCTGCAAGACTTTAGAAGGGGTTGATTTTTTCTGGATCAGGCTCCAGATCCTTAAGCATCTGAACTCCGTCATAACTGGTTAAAGGACAGCTTGCCGAGGCCGTCAGCGACCTTTGCAAACCTAACCATTCCGCCGCACGCAGGACGCTATTTGATTGATGGGCGCTAGTTGATTGATGGAAATCGAAATCAACCTCTCACTTTGAAAGCGAAGGGCAGCGTTTTGTCCTGCGAGTGCAATTCTGACCCCAGTCTTCGAATCTACCCAAGTCTTTTGCCCCTTTCCTAAAACACGCTGCAGGCTTCAATCCGAGGGCCGAGCGCGCCTATTGAAAGACAGCCCGCAGGTGTGTGTGTCAATCACATCCGTGACCATTGGGCCCTGGATTTCAACAACGTGCATAAAAAGTCCGATCGTTTGCAGGTTTTATTTCGTATCTTAGGAAAGTCATTCTCCCCCATCCCCCCATCTCCTTCCGCTGGAGAAATGAGACTGAAAAGTACAGCCTTGGCTTAAAACTCCTCCTTCCCCCAGAATTGACAGAAACACTCTCTAGCTTTTATAGCTGATCCGAAATCAGGGGTGCCAACTTGAGTAAAAAAAAATTTGGGGGGGAGGGACAGGTAAGTCCTGCCCGAACAATTGATCGCAAGATGTGGTGCACGCACCCCATTTGAAAAGCAATGCCCATCAACTTTGGGGGGCGGCCCCCTCACATATTTTATTGGGGGGGGGCGAAGGGACCTCGGTTCTGCCCCCCTAACAAAAGTCTGACCCCCCAAGAGAAAATCCTGGCTACGCCCATGGCCTTAGTCCCAGGGAGTTGACTCCTGTGTCTCAAACACAAGGGCGCACGGGTCGTTCTCCTCGCTTTGTGCACGTAGCTGGATCCCTAGGGCCGTCCAACAGCCTAGAAAACTCCTCTAAATTTCCTCTCGCTCTGGTCTAAGGCGACAGTTCTTAATTTACCATTGCTATCAGCTGCCATCCCATGGACACTTAACAGGAGGTAAGGAGGCGCCCATCGAAGTACAGTAGCGACAAGGAGCGCTGACTTCCTTCTGGGCGTGCATTAGGGTTGCGCGGTCCCATTCCCTGCCTAGAGGGCTCCTGTTCACCCCTAAGGAATGGAGTGCGTAGGAGCCAATTCCTAGGGGCCGAGGGGGTCTTCGCCCCCCCAGTAAAATATTTGAGGGGTCCGCCCCCCAAGTTGATGGGCATTGCCAATCAAATGGTGTGTACCGCGTGATGTGCAATCTTTAATAAAATACTGCGTGGGGGCCCGATAAATCCCGCCCCGATAATCAATCACATAACGCAACTATTTAAATGGCAATGACCATCAACTCTGGGGAGCGTCGTCCATGGGCGTGGTGGGTGGGCAGCTGCCCCCTAAATCAAGTAAATAAATAAAAAAACTTAACTAACTGACCAACCGCATCGCAGATAACTCGGTTCTGCCCCCCACAATGCCTGCCCCTAAAATAAATCCTGGCTATGGCCCAGCCCCCTCAAATATTTTTTGGGGGGTCCGGAGCCCCCTCGGCCCATAGCTGTCAACGTTTCCCTTTTTTAAAAGGGAGATTCCCTTATTCCGAGTAGGTTTCCTCGAAAGAAAAGGGAAAAGTTGACAGCTATGCCTCGGCCCCTGGCAGTTGGCTCCTATGTAATCGATTATGCGGGGTGGGGCTTGTCCCCCCCTTTTATTCAAATTGGCACCCCTAATGGGGTGTGTGGGATTTTTGTCTCGTTTTGTAGCAATGGACGAGGCGAGGGAAGGAGGGGGCCCCGACGCAGAGCTTTGAAGTCAGCTATGTTAAATCCTTGTACTCTGCTTTCCGAAGCAAATTGGAGGTCAGAGTTGAAGCGGAGCGGGGAGCAGAGGAGAGGGCAGAGAAGCCGCGAGCAAAGCGGGGAATTTCCTGTCTGAATGAAGGTCCAGACCTTCCAGGTCTTCTCGCCAGCAGCGACACGGACCTCGCGCTGCCTGGTCTCCAAAACCAAACTGGACTCTCACCTTCTCGGGTGGGGCCAAGGGGCGTTGGCGGGTTTGCAGCGCATCTGTTAGGATTGGGTTGCGTCCAAAGGTCCTAGGGCCAATGGGAACAGAACCTGCGTGTTACTATGCGCCGTTTAGGGGATGACGCAAGAAAAAAGCAGTTCCATCAACCCCTTGTTTTGACCAAGAAACAAGGTATTTTTGTGATGTTGCCTCTGTATCGATGGTGTCCCTTGAGAAGCTGAGTGGCTCTTGTGTTTTTTGGGGAAAATATTTTTTATTAAAGATTTTACTAAATTACAAAAGAACATGCACCCCCCCCAAATCATAGAGTCTCTTAGTTACATTCAGTATAAGACTCTGCTCTTGTTAAATTAGGCAAGAGGAAGCTAATTTTGGTGGATAAAGAGTAGCAGAAGTTCTACCATCAATAAATCAGGGGCACAGCTATCCGTACCAACTTCCAGAAGGGGCATTTCTTCCTATATGTAAGCTAGAAACTCCTGCCAATTATTAATGTGGCAAAAACCTTTGGGGACACCAGTTCTTTGCTTCCCAAATCTCCTGTCTTTCCCTTCTCCTTCGCAATGGGTAGCACAGGGTCTGATGCCCATCATGATACATTTAGTATGCAAACAGCAGCTTCTTGTGAATTGGAGCCACAGCCGAGAGTGCCAGTGGTTTCTACAAAAGATCTCATCTTGTTCATTGCCCACTATTGAGGACTTCTCCCCCACCTCTCTTAGTTTCTGCCCATCCTTACTTTATACTTGGGACAGGAAACATTCTTGCATGCATTTTATACTTTAAATAAATCATTTAAAAGACAAATAAGAATACAGTGGTACCTCTGGTTAATAACTTAATTCGTTCCGGAGGTCCATTCTTAACCTGAAACTGTTCTTAAACTGAGGTACCACTTTAGCTAATGGGGCCTCCCGCTGCTGCTGGCACGCGATTTCTGTTCTCATCCTGTTTTTAACCCAAGGTACTATTTCTGGGTTAGCAGAGTCTGTCACCTGAAGTGTCTGTCACCTGAAGTGTCTGTAAAACGAGGTACCACTGTACACAATACTTGTATAGCACTTACAAGTGTTCAGAGCACTTCACATGCATTCATAGAATTGCAAAGTTGGGATCATGAGAGTCATCTTGTCATAGGAACCAACTCCTAGGGGGCCGAGGTCCCTTCCACCCTCCCAATAAAATATCTGAGGAGGGCTGACCTCCCAAAGTTGATGGGCATTGCCATTCAAATGGTGTGAGGGTGCCATGTCATAGAATAATAGCACTGTAGAGTTGGAAGGGACCTTGAGGATCATCTGCAATGCAGGAATATGCATCTGCCCCATACGGGGAACGAATCTGCAACCTTGGCTTTGTCAGCACCTCACTCGAACCCACTGAGCTTTCCAGGCACATGAACAATTATGCAGAATGGGGCTTACCTGGGGCCCCCAATATTTTATTCAAGTTGGCACCCCTGCATCTTGTCGAACCCCTTGCAAGTCAGAAATCTTTTGCCCAACATGGGGCTCCAACCCACATGACCCTGAGATTTAGAGTCTCTACCAACTATGGGCTATCCCACTGGTATCCTTGGAATCCTTACTATTACCCCATGTCGTTGCAGATGGGGGTGGGTTGCTGAGTCTGAGAGAGAGAGGCTTGTCTATGACCCCCTCTGGTGATTTCATGGTAGAGGTGAAATTTGAACAAGGGTCTTTCGGATTCACAGCTTTATTTGTTCCATCCAGTAATCAGACACGTTTGTGTGTGTGTTTCCCCACTCCCTTCTTCCTCTCTTTCTTACAGGCACTTGCCTTTGCTGCCAGGCTTCTCTGCTATCATGGGTAGCAAGACTTTGCCAGCTCCAGTGCCCATCCACCCTTCCCTCCAGCTCACCAACTATTCCTTCCTGCAAGCTTTCAATGGCCTGCCCGCCGTGCCTTCGGAACATCTGCCCAACCTTTATGGCTTCAGCGCCCTCCACGCCGTTCATCTTCACCAGTGGACCCTGGGCTACCCGGCCATGCATTTGCCTCGTTCGTCCTTCGCCAAAGTGCCCGGCGTGGCCAGCCTGGTGGACGCCAGGTTCCAGCTGCCCGCCTTCCCTCTCTTCCCGCATGTCATCCATCCCAAACACGAAGCTGCCAACATGCCGCTCAAAGCCAAGCCCCGATTTGACTTTGCCAATCTCGCTGTGGCAGCCACTCAGGAGGACCACTCGAAACTGGGACAGATCGATAGCCAAGGCTCCCCTCCGGGCCTGGGCTCCTTGCTCGAGGTGACCAAGCTTTCACCGGAGAAGAAACCCACGCGGGGGAGGTTACCTTCCAAAACCAAGAAGGAATTTGTGTGCAAATTCTGCGGCAGGCACTTCACCAAGTCGTACAACCTTTTGATCCACGAAAGAACCCACACGGACGAAAGGCCGTACACATGTGACATTTGCCACAAGGCCTTCAGAAGACAAGATCACCTGAGGGATCACAGGTAGGCCTGAGCGTTTAATGGATCTGTCTCCTGAAGCCCATCTTAACTGCCAACAATTACAGAGTCTCATCTAGTAGCTATACCCAGTTATATGTCGTGCATAACTGTTATCACAGACAAATGAGATGGTGCTACTTCAGTAAAAAATGCCCATTACACATTAGGTAATACTTGGATATGCTTAATGGTGACTCTCCATTGTGACTTTAATGCTGCTGCTGTTAGTAGTAGTAGTAGTAGTAGTAGTAATAATAATAATAATAATACCCTGACCATCTAGCCACTCTGGGCAGCTTCCAACACATATAAAAACATAATAAAACATCAAACATAAAAAAATCCCAATACAGGGCTGCCTTCAGATGCCTTCTAAAAGTTGTGTAATTCTTTATCTCCTTGATGGGAGGACATTCCACAGCACGGGTGCCACTGCCGAGAAGGCCCTCTGCCTGGTTCCTTGTAGCTTCACTTCTCTCAGAGAGGGAACTACCAGAAGGCCCTTGGAGGTGGACCTCAGTTTCTGGGCTAAACGATGGCGGTGGAGACGCTCCTTCAGGCAGAGCTGGAAAATCCAAAAATGTTTCCTAGCTGAAATTTCAGCTAAGTAACAGACCTGTAAAGTGACGTATTCCATCTACTGCAAGGTTGGGAACTATTTTTCACCTTGAGGTTCAGGCAAGCAAGAGTTCAGTGATACATTCCAGCCAGGCAAAAAACAGTTGGGAGATGAAATGAGGCAAGTGAGAGGTGTGACCTGGAAAAAGGGTTCGTGGCCTGGAGGACCACATTCAGCACCCCTACCCCCTGAGTGTGAGGCGCTCAACACCTGCTCTACTATTACATCCTGTTTCCTACTGTCATGCCCAAGCGAGTAATGATCTGTGTGAAGGATCTCATATTCTCTTTCTTATGCAGAAAATGCATTTATTGAGTTTTTTGGGTTTCGTAATTGCATAACATTATTTCACCAAAGTTCACCTGCGTCAGGGTTGTACCATTGATGTTGGCTGGAAGGCTGTTTTCTGAGCAGATGACCAGGGGTTGCATCCACAATCCCCATGGAGAATATCATGGTGGTCAACAAACATTCATTCCTTAAACTCCTCTTCCTGAGGCTCCCTGCCCTGCACAGCTAACGTTTCACTTCCTGGATCAGATCCCAGGTGAGGGAAACCCTGTCAGGGGCAGGAGGAAAAGAAAGCATCAGGAGAGGATTCACTGCCAAAATTATACTTGATGATTGTTTCCCTTCCCAAGTGTGAGCACTGCTGATGCAGGCTGCAGTCCTATGAATCTGGGAGTAAGCCTCATCTAAGCTCAATGGAATTTATCTCTGGGCAGACGTGAATCGGATTGGGCTGTTAAATGACAAGCTAGAGTTGATTCACCAGTGGATCATGCAGATAAGCATACCCTCCTGATGTCATTGGTCTCCAGCTCCCATCAGCCCCAGCCAGCATTGCCAATGACAAGGAACGATAGGAGATATTGAGGTTGCCGCATTGGGTATCCCTGCTGTAGAGTGTGGTAGGGGGACCAATGGAGATGCTAATGGGCTTGGTAGGTCCTAGGTCCTGATATCTGATTTCCTTGACTTAAGTCTTATTTGGTCTTCTCCTCTAGTGACTATCACATGACTTGCCATGCAATCAGGGTTCTAAACCATGTAAGGAACCAACATGCATGTAGCTTCAGACCTTTTCCAATGCATGGAGGGTGGGGCTGGAGCAGGGTCCACAAGCACTACCCTACTCTTCCCCACATGAGATGGCAATCTCAAGAAGGGACAATGGCCTTCCTACATATAGATGTACAGATAACTGCTTATGCAAGGGAAAACCAACAGAAGTTGATAGCAGTGGCAAAGGTCCTTATGAGCAAAGGAAGGGCTTTGTATGTACCAAGTCAGACCAATGGTCTACCTATCACAGTATATTGCCTACTTTGGTTGGCAGAAGCCCTCTCCACTGGCTCAGATGGAGGTCTCTCCAAGCCCACCAACTTAAGATCCTTCTAACAGCTGCAGATGTTGAGGGTTGAACCTCAGTCTTCATTATGTGCTCTTCTACTCTCATAGGGCCCCAAACCCTTCTATCTACTAATTATACAAGACAAAATGAGTGCATTTACACTTTTCATGAATAACAAGCTCACTTGGATTCCAAGTCTACCCACAGCCTAAATGAAGCCACGTATTTCAGCTGAAATCCTTTTTAGCCCACTCCTGAGCACATTTTTGTGGAAGCACGTTCCATTGAGTTCAATGGGATTTACAGGATTGCGAGTTTAGTCCCATTTAGGATTAAGGAATGAAGGAAGATGCTTAAATACAGATAGACTTAGATAGCTCCTTTGTGGATCAGGGCATTTATTTGTTTAGAACTCTCTGTTATATATATGCAATGTTCTTTCCCTCTATTTTTGCACAGTGATATTTTTTTAGGGCAACTCATGAATATTATGTGCATGAAACCCACTGAAGACACCAAACGTTTTAGCAGCCTAATGCCCAGCTAGACTCAGTTCTTGATTACTAGGACTGCAATCTTAGTCTGCAAATAGTCTTATTTATTCAGATATTATATGTAGGTTTGGCATGCTCATCGAATCAAAGCAGGTAGTAGAGAAAAATAAGCAAAAAATCTCATTTATGATAAAACCAGTCCCCACCTGGTACTGATTCCAACATTTCCAGTTATTTATAATAAAAACATGTCTATGCTACCTATTTAATCTGATTTCATACTGTTGTGTCTCTCAGCCAAGGAACTACGGACATGGTAGGGACATCAGAGAAAGTCTCAGCTGCAGGAGTGTCCCTGACAACTTAAAAGTCTCGGGGCAGATGGCAGCAAGACTTTGTGTATGCTAATTTCTATGCATAGGTGTACTTTTAGGTTTCTGGGCAAATAGAGTGGGTCTCACCAGAATTGCAGTTTGCCACAGCCCTGGAAGCAAATGTAAAATAAGGAACAAGAGATCTGAGACCCCAGGGTAAAAGGATCAGGCCCTGGGGGCTTTTGACCTTCCCTAATAACACCCCTGATCAGCACCCTGACAAATTATGCTAACTACAGTTCTCTAGAAGAAGCTGTGACAGTTAAACTGGTTTCAAGCCAGTTTAAATGAGCAGTGTAAATATGTGCCAAGGTACCAACCTAGATTCATGGCAAACTCATCAATGGGACAGTCCCTTTGTCCTCTGAAAGGATCATATCCCCCTAAACATCATATTCATTCTACTTTCAATGTTTCAGGACTTTCCCAACAATTGTTTTCCCCCTCTGTTTTATTGCTGACAATTATTTTGTGCAGGGAAGCATGAGTGAACTTCTGAAGAACTTAAAAAGAAAGAAAGAAACTGCAGCACCCAGTAATAGATCCCATAGGATTGAAGCTCTACTTATTTAATTTATAGACTGCCCTGCTACAGAAGCTTTATAACAATGCATTTAGTTAAGGTGAACTGTAAGTTTACGATGGTTCTCATCTTACACCAGGGGCAGATGCCTGTATGTTTTCTGCTGTGGAGCTAATAGTGGTTTTCAATCCCTTTCTCTCATCACTGCTGCTTTGATCAAATCTGGAGCTCTGTTTTGGGATAAAAAGAAAAGTATTTGGAGATCTGAACACAGATTTCCCATGGTTCATCTCCCTTTATCCAAGGCTAACTGGATAGTCCATGTACAAACCAGGGATTTCAACTCAAGGGGCACAAACCAAAATATAGTTATAGTTTGTGTGCTTTTTTAGGGTTTAACCAGACATCCATTTCCCTGAAAGTAAGCCCCACTGAACATAACAGGACTTACTTCAGTTAAATACAGGATGTACATCCCAAGTCTATTGAAATCGTTGGAAGCTGTGTGCATTTATCGTGTGCTAAATTGCAGCTGAGCATTTCAATCCAATTATCTCGTGTAGGCAAGGGAGCTCTGGTTGTGTTTGATCCCATTCAGTTCAATTGAGAAGATGCCTCCAAAAACATCTCCCGTTGAACCTGGAGAACAACTATATATTGATGTGAATGGAAAAACTTCCATGTACTGAATTCTCCATGATATACAGAAGCACACAGGAGGCTCAAAGTGGAATTTCCAGGTCCATATGCCCTGCTATTAGATTTTTCTTCAACATATCATTGTTCCCCTTTGAGAACTTTCACCAAAACTTTGACCTTCCACTTGTACACTGTAGCAAGTTAAGACAGAAATGTATGTTGGTCATCTGATCAAATCTAAAATCTCTCTCTCTCTTTCTCTCTTATTTTCTCTCCCCAGATATATCCACTCTAAAGAAAAGCCCTTTAAGTGCCAAGAATGTGGGAAAGGATTTTGCCAATCCAGGACTCTAGCTGTTCACAAGACACTTCACACACAAGTAAAGGAACTTAAACCTTCGAAAATGAAATGCTAAAGCTTCTAGCCCCCATGAACTTCACCCCACACCCGGCATTCCGAAATTTAGACCAAATTCTTGACAGAGACGTTGTGGAGCACTGAACACTATTAATTTTAAATTTGTTAAGAAAAGAAAAACTCATCCCCTCTCTGCATACAAACGCAGCCAGCCTTCCCAAAAACCCGGGTGCTTCCGAGTTACACAGAGGAGTGTAAACCTTGCATGACTCTGCTAAACTTTACGTCAAAAGGTGGTGCTCAAGTATTGGAGAGAGGAATTTTCATTGTGTTACGAGGCAAACAACACCCTAAATAGCTTCCTGAAGTTTTTGCTTTTCTTTAATTTTTAAAATTTTTATCCTTTCTGTATGCTTGTGTGTGATTGTTTAAAAGGCTTATCGTTCATCATACTTCCAAAGAGAAAATCCGGAAGATGGTTAAAGAGAAATCGGCTTCATGTTTTAGGCACTGCTGAGATGAGAAGGAAGATCACTGATAAACTCTGTGCTTGAAAGGAAGCGAATGACCCTCCCATGTAATGGATCTTGCTGTTCTCTACAGATTTTTAACACCCAAGTCTTCCCATCAGTGGGTCTCCTTCCTGCGCACTGGCAAACATCCTGGGGTTTCTGTTTGTTTGTTTGTTTGTGGTCTAGTGCCTTGGGAGTGGTTTGTCACTGGTGGATTTATTTAAACAAAGCAAAACATAAAAACACCGAAAGTGGGCAAAAGTTGACAACAATAAATCAAAGTGACTGCTGTGCCCAGTATGGTCTTAGTAGTACTTTCAAGTTAGCATGTGTCTGGATGGGGAGTGAATGGAATTGATGGGGTGGGGTGGGGGGCATTTGACAAATCTCAGCCTGAGAGTTTTATCCCCAGTTGTCTTTCCCACCCTCCTTAGCAGTGTAAATAATAATAATGAGACATTCCAATATGTTTTTGGTTAAAGTTATTGCTATTTGGCACTTTATGCTGATTCTTGATAATGAACATTTATCACTGGATTTATTTGTGTGCGTGCGTGTGTTTTTTTTTAAGTATTAAAATAAATTGGCATTTTACAGGCAAACATGGCTGGGTGACCTTTTCACTCCCTCTGTTAAAAATGCTTTTAGCAAAGCCCGTGATTTCTGTCCAGACCTTACGCGGCTACTATCTGGTATTGTTTTGTAGACACTGAATCTGTTAATGACCTTGGTTTCGAGAAGCACAGCTTTAAATTAAATGTGGTCTTAACTTTAACAGATAGAGGCAGCAGTCCTGTACCCACGTCCCAGTAAGCCCCATGGAACTAAATGGAACTTACTTCAGAGTAGAAATGTAAAGGTCTGTATTGCAAGTTAACAAACGAAGACTGTGATCCTATGCATACTTGGAGGTGACAGTGAATGCAGGGGACTAAATGCATAGGATTGGGTCCCAACATGCATAGGACTGGGCTGCCAAATCCGTACTGCAGGATTAAGATGGAGCATTATAGTATTGCAATGGGGTGTTGCAATACTTGCAGGTGGGGGGCGGGGGGAGGAAAGCCCCGTTCAACTGAACAGATATGCATAAGGCTGCAGTGCAAATCAATTTAAAACAGGCTTTTGCTTGAACAGACTTAAGAATTTAGCCATGAACCATTGAGCAGTGTAATCCTATGCATGTTTGCCCAGAAGTAAAATCCCAGTATGTTCAAGGGTAAAGGTAAAGGTAAAGGGACCACTGACCGTTAAGTCCAGTCGCGGATGACTCTGGTGTTGCAGCGCTCATCTCGCTTTACTGGCCGAGGGAACCAGCGTTTGTCCGCAGACAGTTTTTCTGGGTCATGTGGCCAGCATGACTAAGCTGGTTCTGGTGAACCAGAGCAGTGCACGGAAACACCGTTTATCTTCCCACTGGGGCAGTACCTATTTATCTACTTGCACTTGATTTGCTTTCAAACTGCTAGGTTGGCAGGAGCAAGGACTGAGCAATGGGAGCTCACCCCGTTGCGGGGATTTGAACTGCCAACCTTCTGATCGGCAAGCCCTAGGCTCAGTGGTCAGGGGTCCTTTACCTTTACAGCATATACTGGATTGTACTGCCGGGGACCATCCATAAAGCACACAAATCTTTTTAGGACTTGCTTAAGTCTCTTTTGTCCCTTGTCACACTTTGCCTGGTTCTAATATATTAAAATTCAGGTTGTTACAATATCAGTATCTAGGGTTGCCATACACCCGGAATTTCCTGGATATATCCAGTCGGAAGCAGTGTCCAGGCAGAAATCGCTGAAATGTACGGATTTTCACTGTTTGACATATGGCAACCCTACACAATCATTTCCAGGCATACCAATAATGTATGGATGGTGTTGTTGTTGTGAGGCTGCGCTACTTAAAATGCTCAGCAATTCAGAACTATGTTCAATGTGGCTTACTCCCAGGGAAGTGCATGCCTGCAGTGGCAAGCACAGTGCCTGTGCAGGATTGCAGCCCTAAGCTACCTATTTAGAAGTTGTTTCCACAAGGGGACCACAGCTCCATCCATCCACATACTCAAAACGTGGATGCTCATTGTAACACCAGATCAAAACACTTCAGAAAGTGGCCTAGACTGTGGACTTTTCCCTCTCTGGCTTCTCCAAGTGTTAAAAATGAGTCTGGATAACACCATCCTGAGAGATAAGGCACAGGAGGTACCTGGAGTGGGAGAGAGCTGCTTCCTATCAAATTGAAGCCAGAGAGGGGTTGGGCCTGGAGGATGCTCAAATCCCCGTTGTTGTTTGAACCAGGACCGGCCCACTGTCAGAGTATGCTCAGTAATCACACAGTACATAGCTGGAATTAACTCTTCATTAGCAAAAACACAATCTCCACAAACATGGCTGAGTGTCAGGCCTAATGAGCACATTATTCCTGGTGGTTTTCATAGAATCTTAAGAGTTGAAAGGGACCTTAGGTTCATTTAGTCTAACCCCCTGCAATGCAGGAATCTCAGCTAAAGCACCCATGACAGATGGCCACCCAACCTCTGCTTGAAAACCTCCAACGAAGGAGAGCCCATAACCTCCCGAGGGAGACTGTTTCACTGTCGAACAGCTCTTGGTGTTAGAAGGATGTTTTTTTGTATGTTTAGCTGGAACTTACTTTCCTGCAAGGGATGCGGGTGGCGCTGTAGGTTAAACCACAGAGCCTAGGACTTGCCGATCAGAAGGTCAGTGGTTCGAATACCCTCCACGGGGTGAGCTCCTGTTGCTCAGTCCCTGCTCCTGCCAACCTACTACAAAGTGCAAGTAGATAAATAGGTACCACTCCGACGGAAAGGTGAACAGCATTTCCATGTGCTGCTCTGGTTCACCAGAAGTGGCTTAGTCATGCTGGCCACATGACCCGGAAGCTGTATGCCGGCTCCCTCAGCCAATAAAGTGAGATGAGTGTTGCAACCCCAGAGTCAGCCACAACTGGACCACAACTGGACCCTTTACCTTTACTTTCCTGCAACTTGAAGCCATTTGTTTGAGTCTTGCCCTCCAGAGCAGGAGAAAACAAACTTGCTCCATCCTTCATGTGACAGCCCTTCAGATATTTGAGGAAGGCTACCTCCTCTCAGTTTCCTCTTTCCCAGGCTAAACATACCCAGCTCCTTCAACCGTTCCTCATAAGGCTTGGCTTTTGCTCCACAAAATCAGTTGCTGAGACTGAAAGTCCCCTCTTCCCACAGCTGTCTAAGTACCCTCTTCTCCAGAGCTTTCCCCAAGCAATCAGAGAGTGCGCCTCCATGAAGCCTGTCACCACTCTGCCCGTTTCAGCCCTCTTCTGGTTCTGGGAAACAAATGGAGAAGGGAGCTTGCTGCTTGTGTGTGTATGTGGTGTGTGTGTGTTAAACTACAGTTCCCATGATTCTTTGTGGAGAAATGTACTTTAAATGTTTAGTATGCATGCAGCCTCTAGTTAGTGTGCAAAAACAAGAGGAAAACACTCCCCTTATGCACTGGACTTCACAAATACACTACAGTCATACCTCGGGTTGAATCCGCTTCGGGTTGAGCGCGTTTGAGTTGCGCTCTGCGGCAACCCGGAAGTAACGGAGCACGTTACTTCCGGGTTTCGCCGCTTGTGCATGCGCAGATGCTCAAAATGACGTCAAACGCATGAGCAGAAGTGTCAAAAAGCGACGTGCACGTGCGCAGACATGCTGTCGCTAGTTATGTTTGCTTCTAGATGCGAACGGGGCTCCGGAACGGATGCCGTTCATATCTAGAGGTACCACTGTAAAACAAACATCAGAAAAAATAGTAAAAATTAGTTAAAATACAGTGGTACCTCAGGTTACATACACTTCAGGTTACAGACGCTTCAGGTTACAGCCTCCGCTAACCCAGAACTAGTACCTCGGGTTAAGAACTTTGCTTCAGGATGAGAACACAAATCATGCTCCGGCAGCACGGCAGCAGCAGGAGGCCCCATTAGCTAAAGTAGTGCTTCAGGTTAAGAACAGTTTCAGGTTAAGAATGGACCTCCAGAACGAATTAAGTTCTTAACCCGAGGTACCATTGTACTAATAAATAATACAAGCACAACAGACAGAGGTTAAAAGCAACTCAGATGATGAAGGAGGTCTTTCTGTGGTCTAGAAAGGACAAGGTAGGCCTAAGATGAGGGTTGCTGGAGAGAGCCGCATAGACTGCATGGTTTAATCAGCTTCCAGAGAACATTTTACCCCTCATGCAATTACAATCCTGTGGAGGCGAGAGAGTCCCTCCACATGTTCCACACCAAGTAAACATGGATAGAATTGCACTGTCAGATTTCTTTTATTCATATACTGACAATTGGATTTTAAAGACAGAACAGCTATTTCATGCTCCCTTCTGTATCTCACAAAGAGTATCTGAATTATTGTTCATCAGATTCTGGAATGCTGTTCCTCAAAGGGTTAGCTGATCACTGAATTGCAGCTGATTGTTGAATTGCTACTGTTTTAAATCTGAAAAAAACCAAATTAAAATTATTTTCTAAAGAGAATGAAAATCAAAGCAGCTTGCAAATCATTTTGCAAATGCACGGAAATTTATAACAAATTGATCAGCCATCCATATTTTAATCAATTAATCAACTTATATTCCTTTGAAGCAATTCAAAGAAACACTACTTTGGATCATGGTGTCATGGAGATTCCGTTCTGTTTTAAGCTGCCCATTCATCCCTGGCTGGGGAAGTTCTAAACACTTAACCAGAATGGGACTTCTATCCCTCTCTCCCCCCCTCCGCCTTTTATTTTTTGAAGGTGCGGATTAGATTTTCAGTGGGGCAGCCCAAGAGCACTAATTTATTTGATCAGATTAAAGCTGCATGCTTTTGTGAAACTCTCTGGGGGAACAGATTAGAGTAAACCTTGTTTGCAAATGCTCCAATACACAAACCGAGGGGAGTCACACTGCAGCCGCCTGGCTGAATCTTGCTGTTTTTGTTGTTAAATACTTGTTACACTTTTCAAAGGAAGTGCTAGAAAAACCCAGAGATTCTGGTACATAATGCTTTACATTTTTTCTTGTTGAAACATCTGTTGGTGTTTGTACTCTAAATTTCTGAGAATTCTTTTTCTTGTTTACAGACTAACTGTGAAGTACTTTCAGCGCCTTCTCATTCTACCAAGTCCACATGGCATTGTTGTAATGTTAATAAGGATTTACCTTTTTCTGCAGAAAATCAGATGTTAAAAAAGGCTGCTGTCAATGACCCATTTGAAATATCCCTACAACCCTTTTGCAAAAGCAAACTCCCTGTCTGGGAGCACCACGTGGGTCTGCCTGCTTTACACTGACTCCACATGTATAGTAAATGAATACAGTGGTACCTCGGGTTAAGAACTTAATTAGTTCCGGAGGTCTGTTCTTAACCTGAAACTGTTCTTAACCTGAGGTACCACTTTAGCTAATGGGGCCTCCCGCTGCTGCCGCACCGCCGGAGCACAATTTCTGTTCACATCCTGAGTTAAAGTTCTTAACCCGAGGTACTACTTCTGGGTTAACGGAGTCTGTAACCTGAAGTGTTTGTAACCTGAAGCATTTGTAACCCGAGGTACCACTGTACATATTAC